TGGAGTTCCTTTCCATCATTTTTCTTCTTCTTTAGGGGCTCAAAAACATCTTTATCCCAGAGATGCCTGCTGTCCAGGAGACGTTATTTGTGCAATGAAGGGAAACTTGACTACAGCTCAGCAGCAGCAGCTGCCTGCCTGCCTGCAGAAAGTCCACTCATCCCACTTTAACACTTCGAGTGTGTGAAAATGTGTGTCGCTGCCTTACTCGTGTCCTCTGCTGCTGCTTCCATCTGAAAATGTTTCTTTAATTAACTTCTTCCTGCATGATCTTGTCTTTTATATCAAGAAGTTATTGTTGCAAGACACAAACGCCAATTAGGGAAACACTTTGGACATCAGCGGTGGTGAAGCGGGACTTTTTCTCTGGTAAAAGTAGGCATGACAAGAAGAGTTGCACTAATGAATCACAGAAAGTGTGTTTAGGGGCGACACACACTGTTTTTTTTTAGATCAATGTTATTAAGATTAAATGTGTTTAAAATGACAACGTGCTTTTCTTCTACAAGTGTCAGATTCCAAAGCGCTTTACACTACAGTGAATCATTCATTCATCCATTCACACACACACACATTCACACACTGGAGGTGATGACCTACAACGTAGTCACAGCTGCCCTGGGGCGCACTGACAGAGTGAAGGCTGCTGAGCACAGGTGCTACCGGTCCCTCCAACCGCCACCATCAGGCAAGGTGGGTGAAGTGTCTTGCCCAAGGACACCACAGAAGAATTCTCTGCTGGAAGCCGGGATCCATCCTACAACCACCTGCTCTACCCTCCTGAGCTGCTGCTGCCCTACTTTGTAAGTAAAGTTCAAGTCCCATTAGTCATCATCACACACCGGTGAAATGACATCTCTGCATTTAGGTCTGAGCTGCAGACATGTCTGCACTCGGGAACTATTTGTTGGTTTAACCCCCCAATCCAACCCCTAATGCTCAGTAGCAAGTAGGCATTGGGCCCCATGTTTTAAAGTCTTTGGTATGACCCGACCTTGGACTTGAGCCCCCAATCTCCCAGTGATCACTCATACTGCCACTGAGAAGGTTTGAAGAATGAAATCATGTGGTCAAAACTGGGTACTGCAGCCCAGTTTTAAAACAAACGAGTGACTTTCACTACCATGGGATCATGGCTGTTGCCAGCTACAGCTCAATGCCAGAAGACTCTAGATGACAAGTAAGTTGTTGGAAACTGAAAAAGCAGCTTGAGATCATTTTAGAGACGTCTATTTGCTTTTATTTCACTGTTAGTATTGTTAGCTCAATGTTAGCCTCTAGCCATCTTTACCCTATATTAGAGTAAAACAAAACAAAATGATTTAATAAATGCATTTGCAGTGGTCACTAGTAGAAACAAAAGCCTTGTAAGACATACTCAGGGGGAAAAGGCTCAGGTGTGCCTGTTTCAGGAAGTACAAGTCAGCTGGAGGAGACCGTAAATTCAGACTGCAGGATTTCTTATTTCCTGATATGTGGACATGTCACCTCGGATTGGTTAACAGCAACATGACTCACTGACTCTGCTTTGCAACATTGATGTTTTATCTCTACAAATAACACAAGCCTGGAGGAGTTCTGCCATGTGGCGTAGTTGCTAATGCTAATGGTTAGCTTCTACTAGTCGAGACATTCGCTGCTGTTTCCTGGACACTAAACCAACAACAACAGCCTTCCCCATCATGAGTCAAGGTGGGTGAGTCCATGAAAGTTAAGTGAAAGTGTGACGTCAGGCTTTTAAAATACTGTTATTTCACCGTCTATTTTCAGTCCGAAGCTAATGCAGGAGATGTGTAGGTGTAGGAGACAATTTTCATGTTCAGCCTGCATGAAAGACTCAGAGTGACAGATTATAATCAGAAATTATCATTTGGTTTAATCAGAGATTCACACATTTAAGAGTACAAGTCACAGTTATTCACAAATACTGTAACTTTTGGGCTGCTCCTGTTACTGGATCAGGATCTTTCCATACACTGCTGTGTTTTGCCGACGAATGTCAAATTACAAATCTCGGCATTGCAGCGTTAGCTAATGCATACTCGGAAACCCCGTGGGCTCACAGATTGTAAAAAAATACTTCATAACGCTTTGGCCATTTTGAAAGGTGAAAAACTTAAAGCCCCTACAGCCGTCTGAGAAGAAAATATGTTTCAATGGAGCCTTCCTTCCAACATGATTGAGACATTACACTGTTTTGCGGTTATTTCATGGTGAAATTCTTACATATTGCACTTTTAAGTAGTTTTGAAACCAGTACTTGTTTACTTTTACATTAAAAAGCTGGAGTTGATGCTTCAACCTCTACAGAAGTCTGTTTCAACCCTGGTATCTTCTCCTGCCTGCATGAATGAGAGTACTTTAGACATCGCTGGCTGTGTTGCTCATTACAACCGAATGTACAATTCTCACATGTTGCACCTTGTACGGGTGAGTCATCAGGCTTTCCAAATGCAAGATTTATTGGTGAGAAGCGTAGTTACAACAAATAAATAATCAACCAAACACAGGTCTCCATACATTTTTATGTCAAATACTAGAAATATTGGAAATTAAATAAAGATCTTCTAGTAACTTTTCTGCCAGCTTTTGCCATAGAAGCAAATACTAAATTAAAAATGGATTCAAGTGATCTTTGTCAGGCCGGTGGCTCACTGGGCTCACCCACACATGAATCAAGACGTGGAATAATCCTTGGGAAAGAGGTTTCTTCACTTCTGGTAGTGTTTCGTCTGCTTGCAAAATCAACGCTAGTCTGTGGCGATGTGGTTCTGGCACCATGAGGTGGCTCAACATTTTTAAACGATGCTTCATAGATGTTTTATTTGAGTTGATCACAAGTCATTCATTCCAAGATGCTGAGTTTATATCAGCATGTAAAAACCGGTTAGCATGTCATCATGGAGTAACTGTCACCTCCAGGATGACGTCGACTCTGGTTCCAGTTCAGGCGTGCAAACCCAAAGGTGCTCCCTTTTTGTCATGAAATGAGCTCTTAAGATCTTCTTAGCTGTAGCAGAAGTTCTCTAACAGTTTTACAGCCAAACCAGAGTCAAACAGAAGCTTCTTCTTCTCCTTCCTGTCTTGATGTTTACTTTCATAACACCTCTCTTTCTGATCTGGGGCGAGGAGCCAGTGGCCGCTGTGAGCTCACACTGTCACACTTCCTCCTGAATGTTATCGTGTCACCACTCAGAGGGTTAAACAGCTCCAGGTGTCAGTAAATACCTCATGTGTCAAGCTAAAGGGGGTCCTTCTGCAGAGAGGCTCAACCACTAACTGTGAGTCATCAACGAAAAGAAAAGACCCACTATTCCAAACTCTCCATCATCAGAGGGGCAGAATGATGAATTATTTTCCTTGAACACCTCTGCAGAACAACTCAAATCATCCACACATGATCGATTTTGCCACTGATGACATTTACTGAAACCCATCAGAAGATGAGTTGGTAGGAGCTCCAAAACAGTCGAGAGGAAACAGCTAAACTTGACAAAACCGCAACATGTTCCATGTAAAGTGGTTTTGAACGCCTGCGCTCTGTCACCACGAGCTAAAGGTTTCAGATTCTCAAAACACTGAACGTTTTAGAAGCTCACAGCAGTTTATTACTAGATCAGTGATGAGACAATATACTTCCCAGCTCATAAATGTTGCTTTTAAAGGACCGTTTACAAACACTTTTCATTAATAATGTTTGAATTTTTTGTAAAAGTCATTTTTAAAAAGGCATTTTTGGGTTCTGCATTAACATTATCAGATTTAACTTGACAAAAGATTAGGAAACATGTTTTAAAACACATGATTTCACTCAAAACGGTGATTTAAATAAACTCAAAAAACAAACTAATAAGGTGGTCTAAATCAGTGGTTCCCAAACTTTTTGCCTTTGATGCACGAGCTAAAAAGGCCCAAATATTGGACAATCTTGACTTTTTTTAGTAAGAATATTATATAATGACATAATAAAAGAGCAGACTGGTTACTGCATAATACCTCATCTACTACGGTATTATTTTTACATTTAATATCAACTATAGTAGAAAACAATCAATCAGAAATGACTAAATACTCATCTGAAGCCCGTGGTAGTGTCCTCCCTGAGACTGGGAGATCATGGTTCAAATCCAAAGTTTTTAAAATGGGACCCAATGCCTCCCTGCTTGACACTCGACTTTAAGGATTGGGGGGTTGAACCACCAAATAGTTCCCGAGCGCTGCCACAGCTGCAGCTCACCGCTCCCCATGGAGATTAATCAAAAGCGGAGATGTAATTTCACCAACATGAGATGATGACCAATGGGACTTTACCTTTCTGTTGTGATCCATAGTGGCACCCAGAGCCCCTACTTCATGGACCTTTACAACTAATAAATCATTATTTTTGGTCTTTCTGGAGTGGATTCATCATCAAGACGTGTTTGTGGGAATTTTTTAAGTGTTTAGTATTTTCATAAACGAGGAGAAATAGTTTTTCTTCCTGTGTACAAACAAACCTGCAGGAACCAAGACTAAGAAGTTCAAGAGGAAATGAGCAGAACACACCGCGTGGACGTTGACGCATGTTTATGTTGAAGAGGTCAGAGGTCAGAAACCTTCCTTTTACCTCGACTCTATCAGCTCCTGCACAGCTTTTAGCCCAAAGTGGATGCACAGCTTCCTCAAACTACATTGTTTTTTTGCAAACTTCCTTAAATGCATTTCCCCAAGAGTTGTTTTCTTCATGAGCGCCCTTGTTCAGGTTTGATCGTTAAACAGAATCTGCCCTTTTTAAAAAAACAACAGTCCAACTAAGTGAAACATGTCCCTGGACATTTAAAGCCACTCCAAATGCAGCTTGTTTGTTTAAGAGCAAGCTTGCTTTTGAAACTTTTTCTCCTGTAAACTTCAGCCCACTGCAGCGCAGTGACACTCCCCAGCTCAGGCTGAAACAGGCCATCGGGAGGACCACAGGAGCCGAATCCTCGTGCACATAATCCAGGAAAACTCAGATTCCTCACCTCCCCAGCTCTTCTTGAGTTTCATAGAAATCCTCCACGTTCTGGTGCTTGAACACAGCCATGCCTGGTGTCCTCATTGACGTGGCAGCTCACACGACACCTGCCTCTGAACCCCCCCGCTCGGGGAGCCCTCTCACTTTGTCTCCTGTTGATGTACAGAAGGTGTTCCTGTTAGTCTCTGACTGATGGAATTCTTTAACGCGTGTTCCAGCTTGTTGTGTGACTTTCACCTCACTGTTGAGAAAGAGTCACTGCACTTGAACTTGACCAGAAAAGACAGGAAACTTGATTAAAAATGAAGTCATTCTCAAAAATACAAACAGCACCAAGCTGGTGCAGTTAGAGGAAGGTTTAGTTCAGATAAAAAGAGGATTTCTGGGGAAATTAGGGCAGGTCAACATCACAACTTTTCTGTTCAGTAAATGCAAATATGAGAGGACAATAAAACACTGAAATGCAACAAATTTCCTTTTTGGTGAAGAAAAATACATTTTCATATTCTGGTGTTTAGAGATATGTTCCCAGACAGAACTCACCTTCTGACAGACGGAGAACAGATGATCATCAGTTCCCACGTCTTCTCACAGCTGCAGCAGGGCGCTTCTCCGGGTCTCTGTTGCTCTATCACTGCTGAGGTCGAGCCGTCAGGCGTTTTGCTCCTGCACAAGTCCCTCCCCCTGATGGGTTCATTGTGAAAGTTCAGCCTGCAGCAGCAGTTTGCTCTGAGCAGGTTTTGTTTTCTGCTTTTTAACATGAAGTAGAAGCAACTCATTTATTAAACTTTTTTTATTTAAATGATTTAACAGAAAAAGTTTTCTGATCACTTAGAACATAAAAAAGGTTCCGAGTCCATCTTATGCAGTCCAGAGCTGAGAATACTGAGAGTAAACATAACCTTTCAGTGCAGCTTCCTTTATGTGAACAATAAATCAGAAAATAATATTTTAAATGCTTTCAGACGTGCTCTAGAGCTGTGGTTCCCAACCTTTTTTTCACGAGTAACCCCTTTCCTGCCAGGGCCCTACAGCCATACACAGTTGTTTCTTACAGAGTTTTGATTTCACATTGGCTATCTGGATTTTTTAAAAGTAATTTTTACAAATACATTCTTGGTAACCTCACTATCAGCATTGAAAAAACACAAGAGGGGACCCTAGGGGGGTCACAGACCCCAGGTTGGGAATCACTGCTTAGAAAAGTGTTGTTTACAGAGTAGAAACAAACTAACAGCATGGTTTATTCACCAACATGTAAACATGTTTATTAAAAAGTTTGGAAATTGTGATCCCATGAGAGTCCTGCTCTCACAAACAAAAAGTCAAATCAAGTTGAGAATTTTTCAGCCGTCTCCGTTTAAGTCTATGAAAACAAAAGAAGTGATTCAGCAGCAAAACGAGAAGCAGGCTAAAACCCAGGAGGGTGTAAGGAAGCAGCATCCAGGACTCCATCCAACCAGGTTTTCACAGCTCACTTCCCGAACATGCGCCGACGTTCGGAATATTGAGTTTCACAAACTGCTGAAAATGGATCAGGAAAGAAATAAATGATGTGAAGGCAGCTGGATGTACAACAGCATGGATGATTTCACAATAGCTGATGTCGTTCTTGGTTTTTAAGCATCAATCAGGTTGACTGACACACTTTCCAGCTGTTAAGACCACATTCTGTACCTGTGTGGGGTACCTGTGTGTAAACACAAAACAAATGCTACGCTGCCACCATGAGGACAACAGGTGTAAATACATCAGAGAAGAAAAAGTCAAATGAACCATAAAACAAATGAAGAACTAAATGAAATATGATGATAAACAAAAGGTCTGTTTCTCCGTGAATAAAAGTTATTTTAAAGTGGAGAGCTGAAGGATTTGGTTTTAGTTTCCTCCTCGATACATCATGCAGTCATCGTACGATTTCAGTATGAAAACATGCGCAAAGTAAATATTCTTAAGATGCAAGTCTGGAAATTTGTATGTAATTATTAACTTTAAAAAAATCTGCTTATTTAAAAAGATAAAACTGGAATCAATAAGACTTTAACACCCCTCAGGTTTTTTAGTTCGACTGTTCCTCAAAATAAAAAAATTCAACCGGTTTATTTAACTAATAGAAGATGAAAACCTTTTGTTTTTGTGTCGTCTTTTTTGATAGAAAAAAAAAGTTTCAGCAAATATTCACCTTTGGCCTCAGAAGTGCATTAAAAACATGAAGATAAGGAAAAAGATGGTTAGAAATGGTGAAACAGGAGTAGTTATAGGTAAATATGGTAAAATAAAGAATTTCAATGAAAATACAGCATAAAAAGGAAAACAATCCCTTTAAAAAGGTGTAAAAACAATACTGTTTTGGACCATTAATGTTGGTTTGGCGTAAAGAGAAGCTCATTCATTGTTTGATACAATTAACATAAAATTATACATAGAAAAACAATAGTCAGCAAACATTTACAAAATAAGAATATAAAGGCAGGAATACTGATGTGAGTTTTTGATCCTTTCATGTGACGTCCATCATTGTTCATCAGACTGACTGAGAATTAAAAAAAACTCAATGGCTGCAGAGAAGATCTTCATCTTCGTATCAGTTGTCCTCCTCATCGTCGCTGACAAAGCTTCGCCCATCATGCCTCGTCTCCCTCTCCTTCAGGAACGTCTGTCTAATGGCCTCCAGCTCCGTCAGCTCCAGGCGGACTTTCTCCAAGTGGAATGCCCGGCGGTTTTGGATCTGCCTCATGGGGAACGGATTCATGTCGAAGAAAGCGATGTTCATTAGCTTCCTGCAACATGGAGAAATAAACCAGATCATCCCAAATGTCATGCAAGATTTGTTGTTCTTGTTGGAGTTAAGAGTCCATCAACCTTTCCTTGCAACTTGGTAAGCTTTGAAACCAGTAGCGGCTTAGAGCCTCCAAGCCACCAGGGGTGGTCCAAACACACGCATCTCTACAGAAGGTGGTTGAAAAATGGTCTGACCAACATTAGTTTCAATCATGCAAGAGAAAATCCAGTTTGAGATTCGTGCCAACAGAGCGATTATTCTTTAACAATACTACAGTGAATTGGCTGAAATCTGACATGTTTAAAAAACGCTGCTGCTCAGCTCACACTCCTAAACCGTCACACTGTACAAAACTTGCTATTTGGGGCAGCAGTAGCTCAGGTGGTAGAGCGGGTTGCCTCATGATCGGAGGGCCATGGGTTCGATTCCAGCTCCCGCCAGGGGTATCCAGCTGTTGTGTCCTTGGACAAGACACTTCACCCAACTTGCCTGTGTTAGTGGTGGTCAGAGGGGCCGACAGCGCCAAATGGCAGCCTCGCCTCTGTCAGACCTCTCCAGGGCGGCTGTGGCTACAAGTAGCTTACCATCAATGGCAGTGTGTGAATGTGTGTGTGAAAGTGTCTTTGGGTGTCTTGAAAAGCGCTATATAAGTTCAATGCATTATTATTATTATTATTTGTCAGCGATGCAGAAGAGAGATGTGAACTCAAGACTTGTTTTAATGTTTATGAGAGCGTCGCGTCATTTGCGGGACCACAGCAAAGCAAAACCCCGACATAACTGGCCTTTCCATACCTTGAGTCCAGGATAGTGCGCGTAAAGCATCGCAGATATTTGAAGATAGCAGTGGAGTCCTGCAGCTTTAAAAAGTCTTCTTCTTTGTATTTGAACAGAGCGAGAGCAAATCTAAACATGATCTGAGGAGGAAAATAGATGCATGTCATCAAATCTACTTAACAGCATCACAGAGTGGCACCAGTCTTTAAACATAGATTTAAACCTCAAAAACGGAGACTGTGTTTGATTTTTTTACCTTTGGTCCTTCAAACAGGAAGGCATCCCAGATCTTAAAGAGGATGTCGCTCACCACGCTGTCAACAAACACAACCAGGAACCAGTTGAAGGTAATGAGAGAGAAATCCACCTTGTGCTGCTCAAAGTGGGCGTGGAGGCGTGGCAGTTTCTCGTTCATCAAGTCCTTAAAGACACGCTGGTCCACCTGCAGACATATTTACATTTTATGGCCACTCCTCTGTCTTTTTTTCATGTTGAACTATGATGATTTTTACCTGAGAGCCAAGCAGAGTCTTGGTGTAGTAGTCTCTGGGCATGAAGACCTCTACGATGGCAACGAGGGTCCAAAATGCATCTTCTTGATCTAAATAGAGCAAAGCAATGGCTGCAAGCCTAAAGAAAGGACAAAAGGTAAAAATGTAATGAATAAACGGCAAAACAAGAGAGAAGAAGAGGAATCGGGTCTCATGGTACCTGTTGAGACCCTGGCAGTATCCGATGTCTGGATTCCTCCAGGAAAAGGCCAGCAGGACATTCCTGAGTTTGTGGATGCCATCTGCACTCGGGGAGGCGTAGTGCTTGTTGTTGGGCAGCGTACGCAGCAGGTCCAGCTCGATCTGCTTGGAAGCTGGGTTGGACCTCTCCCGGGCCATTTTCAGCAAGTTCTCATAATAGTCCGGCATCAAGCAATCCTGAAACTTCTTGACGTGGTAGGAGATGCACCAGCGCCACACAAGGGAGCGGTGCTCGTGGGGCACGCCGCAGCGAATCAGGGCCTTCAGCTCCGGGGACCGAACCAGATCCCTGTTCATAGTGCCGGCCAGGAAATTCTCCCACTTGACCCCGACGGACACCTCCTGATCCGTCATGGACAAGGACTTCAGCTCCAAGGCCCGGACCTTAGCTACCAGCCTCTCCTCCTCTTCCTCCTCCTCAGGGACGGTCTTGAAGCCGTACACGTCATACTCACTAACAGAAAAAAAAAAAAAATCACGTCCATCAAAATGATTCCAAAATTTCTCAGATACTTCCTGAATATCCAAAAAGACGTTTCAACCTTAAACATGAGTGAGCTCGTCGGAAAACCAAACAGTGCCAAAAACACCAAGTAGCAGATGAGTTTTTCCAGTCAGGAAAAACTGAACAGGTCTAATGAGTCCGTCTAACTTCAGCTTGTTAGGAAACCACTGAAAATACAAAAGCTGGATCAGCATTTCCCTCCTACCTGACGGTGTTCGGTTTGAAGATGGTGTGTTCCTGTTGTTGTGGACTCTCCACCTGCAGCGCGTCCTCCAGTAACCTGGATATGACCTCTCGGCCCGGGCTCTGCTCTGACGACGAACACATCGGAGTCCTGACCTCCTGAAGCAGCACCAGATATTTACTCTCCACCTGACACATTTTGGCCTCCATAGCCGTGCACTGAAACAAAGGTTGGTTGGATTTATTTATTAAGAATTCAACTGAAAGCATTCAGACGTGTGTGTCAGACATCGTGGTACCTTCGCCTCTATAGCCTTTTCTCTGTTCTCCGCGTTTCTCCGCAGTTCTGTCAGCTCCAGGATCTCCTTGTTAAGGAATTTATTCTGAGATTTGTAACCCTGAAGGCTGTCCTGTTAAAGATCAAACAACAAATCAACACTTCACACATCGGTGGAATAAAACTGAAACGATTCGTTAAAGAGCAAGTCACCCCCGAATCAAATTTTTTTTGCCGATAAACTATATAAATGGGCGTCTGATCGTACTGTAGACAGATGTCATCAATAATTTGGTGCTGTAGTGCATCTTTGTTAAAATATAAATATTCTGCCTTAAACTGTCAGTGTTGCACCCTCTTCAGGTAAAAACTCTGCACTGCATTTTAATTTAAATCTGCCATTTCTACTGGCTAAGAAGTATCAAATGACATCAGCTGGTACCATATGATGTCACAATGTCATTGTGAGCCTGTATTTGTTAGCAGCTCCGCCCTCTCGGTCTGCTAGGCAACAGCATTTGTTGCATTTTTCAAACAGGAAGTGGGAGTGGAGTAAGATTCTGGTAGGGGTGACTTGCTCTTTAAGAGTTTGTTTCTGTACCTTGAGGACATCCAGCTCCTGCTGCTCTCTGTGAGGCGTTGGTGATCCGCTCTCGTCTTGCGCAGAGCTGTGCTGCGACAGCTTAATGATGACTTCATCCTTAGCCATGATGGTCTCCATCAGCATTCCCAGCTGGTCGTTCATCTCCCCCACCTTGACTTTCAGGACCTTCAGCTCCTGCTGCAGACTCTCCTTTATGAGAGAGAGGCGCTCCATGTGGCCACACAAAGACTTAATCTGTTCATCTCTGTCCTGAAGCAGCTTCTCCAGGTGTGCCACATCTTCCTGGGTTGTAGCGGCAGCTGCACCCTGCCTCTGGTCCGACGACGCAGACTGAATTGGACGGTGAACAGCAGACCTGTCGCACTGCGAGGTTTTTAGAGTCTGCTGCAGAAGTCTCACCAGCTCCTACGTGGGAAAAAGTATTAGCATTCATTCATTTTTGGATCATTTCTTCAACTTCCTAAGATCCAAACTTATCTTTTGAAACTAGTGAGAAGCTTTGGAATGTGCTTAAGAAAACTTTTGAGAAGATCTGACTTTCAGCATCAATATGAGACCTTAGAAAAAGAGCTAAAGTGTCTCCAGATAGAAATAAATAACTCGCCGTTTGAGTAGGAGCACTCCTCCTCCTGCAGTTGATGTGAGCTGTCAGTGCATGGTGACCAGAGGTGGGGAAATCCCCTGAATGGTTCATAAAGTAAAAAAAGGAAGTCTGCAGCTGGGGATTTTTTTTTGTTGCAAAATCCTGAACGGCCTCGGCTTGAAGGCCAATAAAATACTTGAGAAACATTTAACACATCTTAATTTATCACCCAGGACTTGCCAGTCAAACATCCCACAGCAAATAAGGCGAATTTACAGGCTAACATCAGCTGTAAAGTTAACAAAAACAGGAGGTTTGGAGGAGGCGATGGACCAGGCGGTTTCCAAAACACCACATGATTCAGCATTTCTGATTACAAAGTAGAAACAACAGCTGTAGTTGAGCCACACCTTTGTCAGAATACGTGCGCACTACTGACCACTAATCCACTGTGCAGGAACACAAATGTCCCCAAATAGCAGAGTTGGCAAAAACAAGCTTACGTAGGAACTCTTGCATCCCCTACTGGCTAGCTGGAGTGTACCTCTAAGGCCTCACCACCTTTTTGTCAATGAATGGGGCTTTTTCCTGACTAGAAAATAAAAATTAGGGGTGGGACTTGATAAAAAAAATGTATCTGGTGATTTAGAGGCTTTGTAATTAATTAATCTTGATTAATTGCATTTTAATCGTTAAAGACAATTTGCGCCCATGCAATTTTCTTTAAATCAATAATAAAGTTAGTGAGGCCCAGATGACATACCAACACCTTCATGAGTATATTTCTGTAACCACAGGGTCTATTTGATTCTTTTGGTCTCATTATAAGGGTAACCATGGTGGGATTTGTTGGAGAGTGTAAATATTAGTATACTGGTTATTGATGAAGTGTAAATGGAACGGAACTCTAGTGACGCTTTCACATCTGGGCCAGCATGGACTGGGTAGCTTTTAAAGTGTTCATATCTAGGTGGTCTTGTACTTTTCCGCACTCAACCAGTCGTTTTTTTGGCCCACATACCAAGGAGGTCTGCTTCAGGCTGAACAGGTCCAACAACCCACTACCAACTGATTGGCCAGCTCAAATACACACCTACCATTAGAGAGAGCCCCCGGTTGGCAGAGAGAATCAAGCAGTGGGAGCTTCCCGCAGGCGCCATTCATTATAATTCTAGATGCTGAGAAGTCAATGCTGGCCTCTGACTAGTGTTGTCAAAAAAATCGATACCTAGATATAAATCTATGCTAAAAGTGGTATCTAAATTAGATATTCCATCCCTGTGGTATCGATATTATGGACTATTATACACAGCCTTCTTCAAGTACACCGACACGCACGACAGCCAGATGCCGTAAAGCAGCCTCCGCCTCCCAGACAAACAGAAGAAGACGCCGCATGGCTACATTGCAATTTCCCACGCGAGTTGTCTCCGATCCAAGTTTTGTCTGCCAAATAAATAAACAAAAACATAAACAGCGAATTTGGGAGGTGTTTCACAGCCCAAATTAATTAGCATACCAAGTCCGACACGTAGCTGTATATTCACTCTTATATGCTTAAAGGAAAAATCCCGTTTATTGCAACCCGGACTTAATTTCTAGCATGCAGTACGTTTGTTTACTCACGCTGACAACTTTGGTGCTACTTGGATTCCCCGGGGTATTTAGATCCATCGGTAAATCGCCATCAGTGTATATCCATATAACAAGTGCGAACGGGCACCCATGGTGCAGCCTCAAAATAAGACATTATCTGCACCACAACATCTCAATGTCGAAAGGTTTTGTTAGGAATCATTAACATGATTCCCCTGTTCGTTTGGAGCGGGTCTGGGATTTCTAGGCGTGAACAGACTAGCCGCGGCTAATCTAACCGGTGCTTTTAATGACGTCACTGTCGTGCGCCAATCTGTTTTTATTAAGATTACCGGTAGATGTACCTTTGTCCTACTGTGGAGAAATTTGTTTTCTCCCTTTATTGACCAACAGAGTTGTTCAAAAGTACAGAACAAAACATTTGGCATTACATCTTATGACAAAAATGCACCTTAAACAGAGTTTAAGCAGCAAAACATCACTCTGCAAATAGTGTGTATATAGTGAGACAATTCATGATTAAAGTGTTAACTTTCGCCAGTTTTTGTATGCAAGTTTTAAAAAAATGCTGATACTTGAAAGGTTTAAGCACTTTACACACTTAATTCTTAAAATTTAATTTTTGCAATATAAATTGAGGAATGTTATTTTTTGAATAAACTTGTTCAGTAAATTGGTTTTTCAAATAGTATCGAAATCGAGTATCGAGTTTTTTCCAGTATCGAATCGAGTTTGAAATTTTAGTATCGTGACAACCCTACCTCTGACTGAAGCGGGCGGGCGGGCGGGCGGGCACGCACGCACGCGCACACACACACACACACACACACACACACACACACACACACACACACACACACACACACACACACACACACACACACACACACAGTGCCTTGAGCGAGCCTGCACGGCTGTCATTTAAAGAGCAAGTCACTCCAAAATCAACTTTTTTGCTAATAAACTATATAAATGAGTGTCTAATCGTTGCTGTAGACACAAGTAGTCAATAAATGGGCACTTTAGTGCATCTTAGTTAAAATTTAAATATTCTGCCAAAAACTGTCAGTGTTGTGCGGTCGTCAGGTAAAAACTCTACACTGTATTTGAATTTAAACCTGGCATCGCTATTGGCTAAGAGGTACTCTATGATGTCAGCTGGTGCATTACGATGTCATGATGTTGTTGTGGGCACTTGTGTTAATGTATTTGTTAGTGGCTCCACCCTCTCGGTCTGCCAGGCAACAGTATTTGTTGCATTTTTCAAACAGGAAGTGGGAGTTGAGTAAGACTCTGGTAGGCGGTGACTTGCCCTTTAAGGGAAACACTACAGACTTTTCTGTGTATCTTTTGCCCCACCCACATGCTCAGAGATTTCCCCATTCCTGAGAAGTGTGTGTGAACAAAACCTACTGCTGCGGGACCCACAGAGGTCTTAAACTCTGTTCTTGTAACTTGTTCTCACACCCTTTGCTGGATTATCTCTTCCTTCCTCGTTCGTCTGCACTCCTGGGCCATTGTGAGCCCCAACAAAGTTTCATATGCTATATGGAGGCTCAAAGAACAGTTTCCAACTGTAAAAAGGGTACTCTTTCTAGTAAACCTGTAATACCTGAAACTGTCTGCTTTCATAATCAATCATAAAGGTTTCCCTTCTCAAATATTAAGTAATCTGTGTGATGATGAAAGTCACAAAATGTAGCGTGAACACCCACAAATTCTGTTGAGTTTAACAGGAAGAACTATGTCACACAATCTTGCATAATGTTCAGATGGGTCAAACGAAAAACCGCAAGTTTGCCCATGACTTCTGACCACTATGAACAATCAGCTGAGTGCTGAAAAAAGTATATAAAAAAAAAAAAGAGGGAACAGAGAAAATGGGAAGAAGTGTGGCCGTTGTGAGGTACAGAACTACTGTTTCCTTGTTTTAAGTTCAGGCATGACTAATCAGATGCAAGCTTCCTGTATCTGCGACTAAACAAATTCAACCACTGACACCTCAACACAAAGCTGGCACCGAATCAATAAATCTAATCAACATTAAGCAGAATTAATACTTGGAGGACGTTTACCTTCTGGCTCGCCAGCTCCTCGTTCAGTCGGACTTGTTCCTGCTGCATCTGACTCAGCGCTTCTGTCTGGCTCTGGAGACGAAGCCGGGAGTCTGACTGTTTGCCACCGTTACACTCTGTCGCTGAACTCTCAGAGCTACGCCCGGGCCTCCCCAACCCCTTCAAATCTCGAAGCGAAGACCTCTTATGTCGTGAGGAGTTGCGCCCAAAATCAAAGGTGAATGTCGACCCGAAGGAATCTGAGAAAAGAGAAAAGCCTGGGTGAGATCATCAGGAGGAATTTAAGAGGAGTAATTCACTCCAGAGGCATGTGGAGCTCACTGCTGCGCCCGTCAAGAGGATGCTTCTGTTCAGGGGAGTCCTTGGGTGGTGCATCCACCATCTCCCACTCCTCTAAGCTGCTGAAGTTGTTGTGGGCGTAAAACATGCTGCGTCTGTTTTCGCCCGCTCTGCTGGGTCGCAGGTATGACATGGTGTTTCTGGAGAGGAAAAAGGAAAAAAAATGAGGCGAAACCAGTTCTTGGTTGTACTTCCAAAGATAAAATTCCTGTTTTAGGGCAGCCACGTTGAGCAGAAAGTCTTAAAGTTTTCAAAATCACGAGTGGAGTTCTCTTGAAGTCAACTGGATCTCCATGGTAATTGAGGCTAAGCTCATCACCTGCTCTGGAGCAGCTTGTTTTATAGCATTGATAACCCAGATTTAAGAAAATGTAAAAAATAAATAAATAACTCAAATAGAATCAAAGGGGAAAAAATAGTAAAAAAAAAAATCTCATTTGATTAAAGGTACCTATGCAACTTTTTCATGTTTTTAAAATCATTTTCTTGAGCCAGTATGTGCTGAAATGATAGCCTAGTGAACTAGACCAAATTATCGCTTTGCAAAGTTTGGTCTAGGAACGCTCCACTGGAACCACTGCAGCCCCTAACAGCATTCTGGCAGGCCAATCACAGCTCTCTAGAGGGGTTTCAAACACATAAAGAGCTGTGATTGGTCCATAATGGTGGGCCAATCATAGTGCTCTATCTGCTTAGTGAACAAATCACAGAGCTTTATCTGCTTTGTGGGCCAATCAGAGCACTCTATATGCCTGGTGGGTGGGATGATTCAGCAGAGTGAAACAAGATGGCGACAGCTCGTTTCAAATGGCTTTTCATGCAATTTTGGACTATTAGAACTTGGGCTTCATTAGAATCAGGAGCAGATAGATGTATTTAAGTGCTTTTGTTTTTAGAAAAAATGATCTTTTCTCCTTCAACTGTGGACCGCCTCATTTACCGATAGCTGTTGCGGTGAGTATGTCACATTCATTGTCCAGTAGCATGCGGAGATCATTTGAAAGACAACGGTAGAACCCGCCCCACAACCGAGAGCCATCAATGGAGCGTTGCCAGACTAAATAAATGTATTATTTAGTCTGGCTTGCCAGGCTACTGAAATGACCCTTTGCAGGGTTAATGAAATGTCACTCAGACCCCACTGCCCTCTGTTGCCAAAACAACACATTAGGGAGTGCTAAAAGCAAGCAAAACTGAGAAGTGTGCCTTTAAAACCATTTTAATTCACATTTTTTTATCAACCAGTTGCAGCCCATTCAGATAATGGTTTTAGGTGCTTATTTTGTTTGATCTCAAAGTCATTTATTGTCATTTCTACCACATGTGCAGGACATACAGAGAAACGAAATTGAGTTTCAGTGCACACAATTCAAAGATCAGACATACATGGGTAAGACACATGACAAGAATTGGCGACTGCGGTCGTTCGCAACATGAGTCGCGCTACCTTAATAGCTAGATGAAAAGGGTGTTACATGAGGATAATTGGGGGTAAGGTAAAAAAAAAAAGGCATAACAGAGTTAGACCCAGCGGGGATTAACTCTATTATACAACAAAAAACTCCTCAACATATAAGCACAAACAGCACAGATACAAACATCAGAGTCCGATGGGGAGGCGGGGGATCTGGTGGTAAATCAGCTTTTAAACCTCATGTAGCTGCTCTACAAACCCCTGTTCTCACAGAAACAATGATTTAAGACCAGCTGGTTGTTCTTACAACAACAGAGCCAAACGTTTTAGCATCTGACTACATCGCATCTGTCCAACGCTCTAAAAGAGGAACAACTTCATTTACTGCAAAGTGCCTTCTTTCTAATTATGGTGCAAAGCAGACAAACTTGTACTTCTTTAGCAAGGAGTGTGCAAATAAAATCCTGTACAATAACAACAAAGACTTTTCTGGGATTTTACCTGAGCTCTGTACCAAAGTTTTTCAGTGAGAAGTTGAGCGGAGAAGACTGTCCTCTGGCCGACTGGATCCCCACCATCCCCCCAGCATCAGACTCGGTCTCAAAGGCAAAATCACTGCGAACCTTCTCCAAGTTTTCACAGAGTTTCTCACTGAAGAAAGTATCTGAAAAACAAATAAATAACACATTAATCTGCTTAACTGTCACTTGGAAGGCTGGATGTGTTGTTTATCTGGGACATGAAAGCCTCAAATGTCCCTGAACAACTTAACACATGGATGTAAGCAAAAGAGGAAGGATTTCTCTAGCGATCTAATCACCTTTTTTCACAACAGAATCTTTTTTGTGAAAGAAAATGCACTTTTTGTAATGCCAAGAATGATTTAACTCGAGCAATTAATGTACTGAATGCATAAAAACGAAATTCTCCCATGGAATTGTTCAGTTTGGTTTCAGGAATTTACATACAGATGCAGAAACAAGAAAAACTTACGTTTTCATTCAAATAGAGCAGCAAAGAGTTGAAATCTGGATGAATCAGAGACGCCATGCTGATATTCTGGCTGATTTAGCAGGTCTCAAACACATTTCTTTGCGGCTTGCTAACAAAACGTCAAAGTCTTCCTGACAAAAAATGCACAGTATCTAAATATAACCACGTCTCTTCTTTGCATACTGTGGAGGGAACTACACTCACTTCCAATAACGGTTCCAAGAACAACAACAAGGGAGAAAACAATAGCAAGAGTTTAAAAAGTGTGCAGAACAAAATGACAGAAAATGAAAGTAGTAATAGAAAATCTGATTGCTAGATTACATGCAAAACTTACTGTTGTGGAACTGAAAATCTTTGGAACAAACATTTTTTATTGAAATCCTCTACTTTAGCACTGAGTCAGGAGAAAATACTGGCTTTACCATTCAAACATTATAGTCAAAACAGCTCAGTAAAAAAAGCCTAAAGCAAAGAATTAATTGTTCGGGAAATTCTACTTTAACAATCTGAATGATAAGGGAGTGTACTGGCAATATAATATATATAACCCCAATGGGAAGCCATAATATATAATCGCAATACAGAAAAGACAATACAAAATGTATCACAATACCAGGGAGATGACATGACATTCAATGCTCAGCATAAATCAGTACACCCCACTACATTTGTCAGAAAACTTTTAGTTTCCTTTCAGAATCAACATTTTCTATGAGATACCAAACTACTAAATACTCCCACAAATGTGGGCCACTGATTGCAAGATTTGTTTATTTTTACACACAAAAGTGATTTTCCAAACAAATCCATTCAAGCCCACATTGCAAAAATGAGTACACAACAAATATAGTCTTAGGAGAAAAGCCACACAAGACTACAAATTTCAAATTAACAGTCATTCAACCACAGGTGAGTCTATGATTCATTTGAGGTGTCCAGCAGACAGGTGACTATAAAATGCATTACTGAACAAAGGAAAGCCCTTCCTGTTTCATGCTTTCAGCAGTGGCTCCACGTGGAAGAGAAATGTCACAAAATCTGAGACAGGGAATGTCTTCCTCCTCGTCTTCCTCCGCTTATCCGGGTCCACCACCCCGGTCTGCCAGTCCACAGGAACTGCCCCCGATGACCACGCAATGTTGCAGAGACGTGTCAACCACGACAGCCCTACAACATCCATAGCCTTGAGATAACCAGGACGAATCTCATCTGCCCCCGGTGCTCCGCCGCGGTGTAGTTGTTTGACTACCTCAGCAACTTCTGCCCCCGAGATTGGACAGTCCATCCCCAGGTCTCCCGGCTCTGGTTCCTCCTCGGAATGCGCGTAGGTGGGATTGTGGAGCTCCTCAAAGTACTCCTTCCACCGTCCGACTATAGCCCCACTTGATGTCAGCAGCTCCCCATCCCCACTGTAAACAGTGTGAGCGAGTTGCTGCCTTCCTCTCTTGAGTCGCCGGACAGTTTGCCAGAACCTCTTTGGAGCCGATTGATAGTCTTTCTCCATGGCCTCACCAAACTCCTCCCACGCCCGAGATTTTGCCTCGGCAACTGCCACTGCTGCACCCCGCTTGGCTATCCGGTACCTGTCTGCTGCCTCCGGAGACCCACAGACCAGCCACACCCTGCAGGACTCCTTCAGCCTGACGGCTCCTTGAACCTCTGGTGTCCACCAGCGGGTACGAGGGTTGCCACCACGACTGGCACCGGCCACCTTGTGACCACAGCTAGCAACAGCCGCCTTAACAATTGCAGAGTGGAACAAGGCCCACTCGGAGTCAATGTCCCCCACTGCTCTCAGGATGCGGTCAAAGCTCTGCTGGAGGTGGGAGTTGAAAACCTTCTTGGCAGGTTCTTCTGCCAGGCGTTCCCAGCAGACCCGCACTATGCGTATGGGTCTGCCAAGTCTACGCGGCATCTTCCCCTGCCATCTGATCCAACTCACCACCAGGTGGTGATCAGTAGACAGCTCCGCTCATCACTTCACTCGGGTGTCCAAAATATACAGCCACAGGTCAGATGATACGACAACAAAGTCTATCATCGACCTGCGATCTAGGCTGCCCTGGTACCAAGTGTACCGATGGGCATCCTTATGTTCGAACATGGTGTTAGTCATGGCCAAACTGTGGCTTGCACAGAAGTCCAATAAAAAAACACCACTCTAGTTCAGATCAGGCGGGCCGTTGCTCCCAATCACACCCCTCAAGGTCAAGCTGTCATTGCCCAAGTGAATATTTAAGTCCCACAGCAGGACAATGGAGTCCCCTGATGGAGCACTATCTAGCACTCCTCCCAGGGACTCCAGAATGGGAGGGTACTCTGAACTGATATTTGGCCCATAAGCACAAACAACAGTCAGGACCCGTTCCTCGACCCGAAGGCGCAGGGAAGCTACCCTCTTGTCCCCTGGGGTAGACCCCAACACACAGGCAGAGAGTCTTGGGGCTAACAAAAAGCCAACCCCAGCCCTCCGCCTCTCACCTGGAGCAACTCCAGCAAAGAAGAGTGTCCAACCCCTCTCAAGGACTTGGGTTCCAGAGCCAATGCTATGTGTCGAGGTGAGTCCGACTATATCTAGCCGGTACCGCTCAACCTCTGCCACAAGCTCCTGCTTCTTCCCCGCCAGCGAGGTGACGTTCCATGTCCCAAAAACCAGTTTCCTTGTCCGGGGATCGGACCACCAAGGCTCCCACCTTGGTCTGCCACCCAATCCACACTGCACTGGACCCTTCATGTTCCTCCTGCGGGTGGTGGGTCCACAGTTGGATGAGCCCATGTATCCGGTTCGGGCTGGGCCCGGCCGGGCCCCATGGGCAAAAGCACGGCCACCAGGCGCTCGCTCACTGGCCCCAACCCCAGGCCTGGCTCCAGGGTGGGACCCAGGTAACCCTCCGGGCTGGGTACTCTGACTCTTTGAATTTACATCCATGAAAGGTCCTTTGAACCGTTCTTTGTCTCACCCTTCACCTAAGACCAATTTGTCATGGGAGACCCTACCAGGGGCACAAAGTGTCCCAGACAACATAGCTCCTAGGATCATTAGGGCACTCAAACTCCTCCACCACGATAAGGTGATGGTTCAACGAGGTGCAGAAGTGATCCAAAAATTTAAGAAAGATGGAAGTGCAACCATCTTACAGAGACGTGCAAGCCATTCACAGAAGTTAACATCTCGACAGGAGCGTCTTCTGATGAGAAGTGTTGAAGAAAATCACCATGCAAGTTCATTGCGGTTAGCTAAAGCAGTAGAAAGCCAAACGGGAGTAACCGTTTCCCGTGACACCATACGACACACACTGCAGAGGAATGGCATCCATGGGTAACGTCCACAAAGGAAGCCTCTCCTAAAGCCCATGCACAAAATAGCATGCCTAGGATTTGCTAGGGCCCATGCTGAAAGAGATGAAGACTACTGGGACTCTTTACTCTGAAGTGATAAATGACCCACACTTGTATAGCGCCTCGCAGAGTAAGGACTCCAAAGCGCTTTACACTACAGTGTATCATTCATCCATTCACACACACATTCACACACTGATGGTGATGAGCTACAATGTAGCCACAGCTGCCCTGGGGCGCACTGCCAGAGGCAAAGACCACCAATTTTGGAATTAGTAGTTTCTAAATTGTACACCAGCTACACTGGGCACCCATACCACACAGCTTGCAGGTTCATTAATACTCTCCTGGTCTGAACTACATGCTGAATGAAATTGGAATATAAAAACAACTACACTTGAAAACATTTTTGTAAAAAATGGGAGAAAGTAGGGCTGGGACAATTATCAATAAATCAGTTAATCGTACGATAGATGAAAAAGAACTCAATTTTTCTAGCCTCAATATATCGAGGTTCAGAAATATACAACTCTAATATTGTTATTTATTATCATTACGAAAGTGCAGTTTTGGTTGTTGACACTGGACAGGGCATTGCATTTATTGTTTTAGAGAGACAGGGTCAATTTGATTGTTTTTGGTGCAATATGCCAAGGGTCACACCCTGGACCTGGTTCTCTCTTTTGGTCTCCCTGTCATGAACCTTGTGACTTTGTCTCCTGTGTTCTCTGACCACTCTCCTATACTCTGTGATGTTACGTTGCCACGTCCTGTCCCTGTGTGTGAAGCTCCAGCTACTAGGTTCAGAGCCCTGGATGCAGAAACTATTTCAAAGTTTGTGGACTGTATGTCTGTAAGGTTAGAGACCTTTAACCCAGATCCATCTAACATTGATCACTATTCACAACACTTTGATGTACTTTGTAATCAGGTCCTGGACGTGGTTGCCCCTCTCAAGCTTTGCAAGTCTAGGTCTAGGAGGGAGCCTTGGCTCTCTGATGTCCCACGGGCTTGTAGGCGGGC